TGAGACAAACTCCATATTTTGGGGACCTCCAATGCAATTAACCCTATAAGTTATATTTGGATTCAAATTTGCTAGAACAATGGGTTAATATTGCATCATATGAATATATGTAAGTGTTAGATGATTGTTGGCATTGCATCATATGAATATATATTATTCATATAGGTGTTAGATGATGGTTGATATTGCATGATATGAATATGCATTAATTACAATTTGTGCTCTCCAATTATGTTCTATGTTGCTATATACTCCATGTGATTTCAAAAAGTTATAATTTATCCCTTCCAAGTTTCAAGTGGACTAAATTGATTGACAGCAACGATTGAAACATGAAAGTACAATTATGCTCTCTATCTTGTACATTATTTTTTATTTGTTTTCGTTAGATACCAATTCTATCCCTAAAAAGTAAGGAATCGAAAAAACCAAGACAAAAATACATCCAATCAGCCCAACACAAATGCACTACACAACACCATGTTCGTCTTCACCTTCACCAGTGCCTCCAACTCCGGCTCCACCCAACACCAACACGCCTGCACACACACACACATTTCTAGGGATAATTATATCTTTTCAACAAAATAGAGATCATGTGAATTTTTCATGTCTAACTTTTGTCATTTTTTATGGTCTAAATTTAATTGTTAAAATTAATTGTGAATTATTCAAACTTAAAAGGGACTATTTGTTTAAATTAAAACCTGAAGACTGAATGACAGATTACCCCAAATTAAAAGGGGTATTTTGTAATTAACCCTATGAATATATAATAGGTATGGGATGACCATGGAAAACAGTTCTAGAAAGTATATTTATGTCAAGAATGCAATTCTTGAAAGTTTCGTTTTTATATGTACTAGTTGATGCCCACGTGTGTTGCATGTGAATCATTTTGAATGAGGTTTATTAATGAGAATGCAAAATGTCATATTTTTCTTTTTTAAGATTTAGCCTTTTATACTTGTTTGGTGCCTAAATGTAATCATTATTATTATATTTTGACTTAAGATGCAAATGGAGACGTTAAATGCAAAACGAAATTAATTTGACGATTTTGGATAGTTTCGACACCACTTCGTAATTTCGGCATAACTCTCTCATCCGAGCTTCAATTGAGATAATTCAAGATGCTATGGAACGCCACGAAAAAACTCTACAACTTTCATGTTTTGAGTCTTAAGAGATATTGACTGAATCAAGGTCGAAAATGGACTTGCAATTGCAGCTAGTGCACTGTTCACGTGCTATTTATATTCTGAAATCTGGTGCACGAAAATTCCAGTGGACTTTATTTTATTTTTACTTTCCTAGTTATATTAGAACTTTACTTTCCTAGTCATATCAGGCTTGAGGAGGTGTTGAGAAAAAAGAGAAAAAAAAAAGCAAAAAGGAGAAAGAGGAGCAGACTGGGCAACAACTATATCCCCCTTCTTCCCTAACTCTTCTTGCTATTTTTCATGAAGGCCATGTGTGGATAAACCTTGATACTTGGTCGAAGGAAACGGAAGCCTTGGAATTAATAAAACTGTGAGATCTAATTTGTTTTTATTGTTCAATTTATGATTTGATTATCGAATGTTCTACTGTGCCTATTTTTCATGATTGTCTGGTTTAATTACTAGGAGGCCTACTAGTTTATTATTCATTGCAATCTACTGTTGGGTTAGATATCAAATTTTTAATTGTTTGATCCCTCAAATTTGTGAAGCAACAAAAATTTAATGATTTGCTGCGTCAGAAATTATTAGATCTTAGAAAGAACATTCGATTAAATTAAATGTAATTGCTTGTGCTTGTGTTGTTTGGTTTCATTGATCTCTCTAATTCTTAAGGCTGCTACTAGATTAAACCTTTAGTACTTGTCTTAGGTTGTTTAGTAGTTAAGATTAATTAGATTGCTTGTTTTCTAATTAACTACGACAAAGCAAGATAGGAAGATAATTCCAACGGTGAATGTTCAGATAATGAATTGATATATACTTGCATCGATGATCAGTTGTAAAATTCCGATGGTGGATGTTAACTTAGATTAAAGTTTGTTTTTTTGATTGATTTCGATACTTTAATTTGAATTGTTCTTTAGTTGTTTTCCTAAAATTGTTGCCGATAAACTCAAACCCCCTCCATCCTTGTTCACGAGGCATAAAACTAGGCTAGATACTCTCCATGGGAACAATCTTTACACGCACTATTACATGTATGTTTAGGAGTATAAGTTTTATTTTTAGTTGCCTGTGACAACACACCGCTTATATAACTATTATTAGAAAGTTCACTAAATTTATTCCGAGACACCAACTGTTTTGTTTTGTTTTGTAATAAAATTTTGCTTTGTTGATAGGAGTAATTGCCATTACAAGTTAAGGGGAAAAGAGAATCAAAGTTACTAAACCCCATTGAGCAAGTATAAGACAGCAAATTACAATGCACCTATTGACCAAAAAACATTCTAAATGCATACTAAGCAAAGGCTAAGCAGACAACTCCTCCAATAGAGAAGCACGACTTCAAACTCATCACTAGCAATCATATCTGTATTATATTATCAATTGATTGTTGGATTCCAAACCAGAGTCATTTGCCTATTAATTGAGGAATTTCAAATTTTTAGAGATGACTGTCACCCTTTAATAGCTCCCCTTACAGTTTTGAAGGTAGCATCAAGGTCATTAAAGGAATTGCAGAAAGTTTTTGAATTCCTTTCATTCCAAATATAGGCACAATATAAGGCCTTCCATTTGTCAGCAGCTATTTTAACCACACAAGGCCATGAATTTTGATCAGGACATTCCTCAACAACTCCTTAACGAAGTCTACATTTTCTACAAATAAGAACAATGACACAATAAGTCTTAAAATTCTATTGCCATATTGTCACTTTTTAAATAAGAATGACTTATGTCTGGGCTAAATGAATCTTCAATGAGATTGGCAGGCTAATGGGAGGTTTAAACTTCTAAATCAAAATAGATTAATACACCAAAAACCATAGAAAAATATTTCAAAATATATATACTTGAAAGAGTGAAAAAAAAAAGGCTGTACCGGAATGACTGTGTTATCAGTAAAAAGCTTGCACTTATAAAGGGTAAAACAAATTACACCACCTAAGAGGGTGAATTGATGGACCTTACATGAATTCATTGTACTAAGATTCCCACTTTTCACCCGTAACTTACTAAATAACTGGCTTAAAATCTGAGTCTTCCTCAAGTGACCAAGAGGCCCTTGAAAATAAGAAATTCACACAACTAATATATGCATAAAAAATTAGAAATTAGCAGAACAAATATAAACAAAATAAAAAATATGATTTATGTATAGGAAAAAAATTGTTTATACCAACCGAAATGCACTACAAGAGAAACGTTTTACTGCGACGACTTTTTGTGATGTGTAAGAAAAATTATCGCAAAAAAAAAGACATTCTATGACAAATATTATGTTTCGTTGCCAAAAAGTATTATAATGATCTTCAATGATTGAAGCACTATAGTGAATTTATTTTGATTTGTTACATGAACAATAGTAATAATAAAATGTCACTCTTTAAAATGATTTTGTTTGGCGATGAGTAGATCTGTCAAAATCTGACACGACACGATTAACTGACATGAATCAATACGAATTAAGAGGGTTTGTGTGAGAACTTAACGGATTTGAGTGGTAAATAGGTTGACCTGTCAGACACGTTTAATAAACGGATCGTGTTTAAGCGAAACTTGTCAAATCGTTTATCACACGTTTACCCATTTAAATAAAATTAATATAATAATAAATTAATAATTATTTTAAAAAATTAGCTAGAAATAAAAGATGTAAAAAAATCAATACAAAAAAAAGTAAAATAGTAGTTCAAAGACAAAGACAAACCAATGTTTTTTTTTATCCCACATCAGCAAATGAGGTGAGATGGAGAAGGCTGACTTGCCTATAAAAGGTAGTGGGCTCTTGCCTTTTTTTTTTTTGCCTTAAAGTTTGATTATTATGTGAGATTTGACAATTGTCGAAACTCGTTGGTTTAGAGAGAGAAGCTTTGACTTCTCTCTAGAATTCCCAAGTTCATGGCTACTACTCCAAGTTCTTCCCATATCCCACCAAAACCACTGGATTTACAATCTACAAATAGCCCAGCAGCACATCCAACAATACAACTAACCTTTGCTTCCCTCTTCAAACATCCAAACAAGACTACGTTTGAAGATTCATTACCCAAGATTGATAAACCAATGATATTCTATGAGGGGGGGTCGGCCTTCTATTTCACCAATGAAGAAATTGAAGACTCTTGTCAATTCATGAAATATTCATTGATTGGTAAATGCTTATATGGCAGGCCTTCTCTAGGTGTAATCAAGGAGGTAATATGATCCAAATGGCAACTCAAAGGAGATTTTGAAGTGGGTTCAATTGATCAATGTCACATACTTATTAGATTCCAACTTCAAGAAGATTATGTGAAGACATGGTTGAAGGATGCTACACTGATCGAGGATTATTTGTTTTGATTCTTCAAATGGTTTTCAGGATTTGTACCAGAGATAGAGCCTTCGATTGTACTCATGTGGATATCTTTACCAGGCTTGCCTATGAATTTCTTTAAGAAGAATTATTTAGAGGTCCTAACCAAACCTATTGGGAAAGTCTTGGCTTTTGATCAAGCTACATTAACATTATCAAGACCGGGTGTTGTAAGAGTATGTGTGGAGGTCAATCTATTAGCAAGCAATCTGTCCAAAATTTGGCTAGACATGGGAGATGAAGGAGCTCGATGGTAGCGTATTGTGTATGAGAAGAACAAGAGATTCTGCAAAGCCTGCATAAAGCAAGGCCACAACAAAGAAAAATGTCGTAAAAGGAAACCATTAAAGGCTATTCAAAGTAAAGATTTACTTCCTAAAGAGACTAAGGTTGCTACGGCAGGTATTGAGAACATTAAAGGAAAGCATGCTCAGCAAATCTTGGAGAATAATGGTAAACAGATTCAGCAAATCATGGATAACAATGGACAGGGAAAAGCTCAGTTGTATTCAAAGCTAGCTGGTATATCATAGAAGGCGAAGGGCATTTGGAAACCACAATATAAGGAGAAACAAATTGAGAGACAGAAGGAAACTTTGGGCAGTTCTCAAGAAATCAGGGATCTCACAGAGGAGACACAAACTGTTGGTGCAACTAGGATAATAGAAGTGGGTGCTCACTCAGGGAAAGATACCGATTTTCACTTAAATCAGGAAGATGCTTAGCATAATTTGGCAAATTCCAATTCTTACTTGGATATCGCTCCCACGGCCCCTCTGGTTTTAACGAAGGTGAATCAGGATCCCAGAAAAGAAATTAACGAAGCTTCGGCTATGGAGAAATCCAATGAGTAGTCTACTGGACCAAGTCTACTGAATAAGCAAATCTCATTGGCTTCAGATTCCACATTCCTTGTAGATCATGAGTATGATTGTGCTGGTAATAGTGGTTCGGCTATGAATGATGACAGAGGTCTACATTGTACCAAGGAACCACCTGATAAAGGCTTCCATTCTGATAACGAGGTTACTACTAATCTTGCATGTGTTAGAATTGATTCCATTGAGATGGACTTGCAAGTGGAGGTTCATACCCATTCAGGCATTGTTACTAGATCCAAATCTAGGAAGCAGTCATTACTCCAAATTTCTTATGATTAATACAATTTCCTGGAACGTGCAGGGAGCCAATAAGGAATCCTCTAGGACGAGACTAAAGAAACTAATTAAGCTTCATGATGTTAGCCTGGTGTCTATTTTGGAACCTAAATTAAGTCCATCCAAGTTACAGATTTTATACAATAGTTTGGGTTTTCTTCATTTCTTGCTAATCCTCTTGCGGAAAAGAACATTTGGATACTCTGGGATCATCGAATGCAGATGCAAGTAGTTTCTGTCCATGAACAAGTGTTAACTGTGGAAGTTTCATTTATGGGGTCAGATAAATTTCATGTCTCTTTTGTTTATGCAAAGTGTGATCACATTTTAAGAAGGCCTTTGTGGTCTCATTTGAGCAGTCTTAATTTACAATCTTCTCCTTGGATGATTGTCGGGGATTTTAACACTATCGTCTCTTCTTCTGAAAGGAAAGGAGGATCTCCTCCTAGTTTCTCTATTATGTTAGAATTTATTAACTCTTTGGGTCTGCTGGACTGTGGATTTAAAGACTTTTCCTTTACATGGGGCAATGATCACCATGATATGACTCGTATGTGGCAGAGGGTGGACAGGGCGCTAGTTAATGTTGAATGGGGAGATAAATTTCAATGCATAGATGTGGAGCATGTTGAAAGAGGAAGTTCCGATCATTCCCTTTGATCATCAAAATTTCTGACTCTCCTACAGCTAGGAGAATTTCTTACTTTAAGTTTTTGGATGTGTGGGTTGAGTATGCTGGTTCTCTGCCTTTGGTTCAATCCAGTTGGTCTGGTTTCTTCTCTTCAAATCCCATTGAAAATGTCTTCCAGAAGCTCAAGTTTATAAAAGGGGAGTTGAAGAAATGGAATGTTAACACCTTTGGAAACATCTTTGAAAACGTTAAGAGGCACGAGATGTTGCTCTTGCAAGCTGAACAAGAGGTTGAGATGAATGCTTCTGAAGCAAACCATCAAAATTTGCTTAAACTGAGGAAAGATTTGGATGATTACCTTAGAATGGAGGAGATTTTTTGGAAGCAAAAGACAAATGTTAAGTGGGCTATGGAGGGGGAAAGGAACATGAAGCTTTATCATGCCATTGCAAAGGGGAAAGCAATTAGAAACAAAATTTTAAGAATAAAAAATGATGTTGATGATTGGGTTGAAGGGGAGGAGGAGATAGCTAGTTGTGCTGTATCTCATTTTTCTGCACTTTATGAGTCTGAGCCACATTCTTTGGAAGATGATTTATTTTCTTCTATCCCCACCTTGGTTACAGAGGAAGATAATGCTATGCTCACTACACCAGCAACAATGGAGGAGCTTAAGCAAGTTGTTTTCTCTATGTCTGTGCATGGTGCACCAGGCCCTGATGGGTTTTCAGGCAAGTTTTTCCAATCTTCTTAGGAAATAATTAAATTTGATTTACTTGCTACTCTTATTTTTTTTTTGCAAGGAGGGGGGGGGGGTGATCCCAAGATCGGTAAATTCTACTTTACTCACTCTCATTCCCAAGAAAGATCATCCGGTGTCTTTCTTAGAGTTTAGACCAATTAGTCAAAGAAATTTTCTATATAAAATATTTACAAAAATATTGTCTAGCAGACTAAGCAATGTTCTTCCCAAGCTTGTTTCCAAGGAGCAGCATGGCTTTGTCTTGGGGAGGAGCATTGGGGATAATATTTCAATTGCTCAATTTATGGTTAATGAGCTAGACAGAAAGGTGGAGGCTGGGAAAGTTATAGTGAAGCTTGACATGATGAAGGCATTTGACTGTATGGAATGGGATTTCATAAGCAGGTTCTTAAAATATTTGGTTTTTATCAAGGTTTTGTGCACATAGTTTCAAATTGCTTCCAAAATCAGCACATCTCTGTGGTTCTTAATGGTGTTCGTCATGGTTTCTTCTCCACCTCTAGAGGGTTAAGACAAGGTGATCCTTTGTCTCCCTCCATCTTCATTCTTGCGGAGGAAGCCTTAAGCATAGGACTACGGGCCCAGTTTCAACAAGGTCTTATTAAAAGTTTTCACACAGGGAGGGATTCACATCTTCTTTCTCACTTATTATTTGCTAACAACACTCTTATTTTCCTTGAAGGGAGTAAAAGTTCTATGCAAAATCTCTTAAAGTTCATGGCAAGTTATGAAGCATCATTGGGCAAAAAGTAAACAAAGGCAAGAGTTCTATTTATTGCTCTTCTAAAATCACTGCTTCTAGGAGGCATATGTTATCTCGAGTTATGAATATTCCCTTAAAAGCTTGTCCCATTATCTATTTGGGGTGTCTTATCATTGAAGGGAAGGTGAAACTAAGGTAATTTGAGGAGTTGGTGGGGAATTTTCAAGCGAGATTGGAAGGATGGTATTCAAAAATCTTGTCGAATATGGGTAGAATAGTACTCATTCAATCTGTTTTGTGCTCGATACCAGTCCATTTGTTAGCTTCTTTGAATCTGCCAAAAGGAATTTTAGCCAGGCTAAACTCAATTATGGCTTCTTTTCTTTGGTCGGCAAAGTTAGGAGTCAGAAAAAGTCATTGGTGTTCTTGGAATAATATATCTAAGCCAAAGGAGGAAGGGGTTCTGGGAATTAGAAAGTTTGAGGATATGCAACAGGCTTTTAGAATGAAGCAGGTTTGGTAATTGTTACATGGAACTTCTTCATGGCCTTCTCTGTTTGCTGCTAAATGCCTTAAGCAGCAGCATCCACTAAGGATTCATGGTTGTCGTCATTGTAGAGCATTTACCTCTCTAGCTCTTTTTTTTTTTGAGATCGTTTCATCTAACTCTCAGAAGCTAGTTGGAAATGGCAATTCTACTGATTTCTGGTGTGATAATTGGACTGGTACGAGATCTTTGATTTTGAGGAACTCTGTTGTTCGATTGTCTTATCCTAAACTTTCTGATCTATTTGTAAATGGCGCTTGTTTTCTTGATAGAGTTAGACAACATTTGGATGCTCATCTTATTTAGGAGGTTCATGACGCTCAGATAACTCTCTTTGCTGATGAGGATGGATTAATTTGGAAGCACACTACTTTTGGTAATTTTACTATTAAGTCTACCTAGGATCTTGTCAGGCAGCATGATCAGATAAACATCCAAGTTGCATTGATTTGGAAACTGGCTGCTCCCCCCCCCCCCAAGTGCTCAGTTGATGTGTTGGAAACTAATGAAGGGAATTCTTCCCATGGATTCTACTTTTCAAAGAGGTGGAGTATCAATGGTCAGTAGGTGTGTTATGTGCTGTAATGCTTCGAAAACTCCCACTCATCTTTTCTTTGATTGTAGCTATGTTAGTTCTTTATGGGACAAAATTGCAGCATTTTGGGGCTTTCAACTGATTGTTGATGAGGAGCCTATTACAAGACTGATGAGGTTAGCTAGAATCTATAAGAAGGACTCTCTAAGTCATGCTTTGCTAAGAAGCATCTCCTTGCTGATTTATTGGGTTGTATGGAAAGAAAGATGTAGGAGATTGTTTGAAGACTAGAGGCAACCTCCCTCTTTGCTTTTTATGGTTGTTATGCATATATGGATACTACAAGCGTATTATATCAGACCAATGGTTTTGGATTCTCCCACAAAGAAGGAGATGCTTGCTGCTATTAAATTTTAGTCTCAATTTCAGATTTCTATTCAAGTTAAATGGATAAGTTGGTCTTTGCCTCCTAAGGGATCGATTAAATTGAACATTGATGGTTCTTCTAAAGGGAATCCAGGTTTGTCTGGAGGAGGAGCTGTCCTAAGGAATCACTGGGGATAGGTTGTTCTTGCTGGTTCTTACTTTTATGGAGTATGTACAAATATGGAGGCAGAATTGAGGGCACTATTGGATGATTTACAATTGATGTTGCAATTTGGGTTAGAAGTTTATCCCCTTGTTATAGAATCAGACTCTCAAGTTCTTGTGGATCAGATAAATTCAGGTTTTCTTAATGCGTGGAAGTTCAAGACTCTCAGTTAATTTTCTCTCTTCTCCGAATGTTCAAATATAAGTTAGCGGTGAATTATTCATTTTTAGCAACGACCTTTTTTGCCACTAAAAAACATTTTTGTTGTAGTGATGCATGAATCTGAAGAAATTAATATTGTAGATTTTGTGAAGTACATTCTACTTAGTATAAGACTTACTACACTTTTTCCACCCTCATCTTTCTCCGTCTGAAATCTTAGCACTCTTTTTAGAAGGTATTTTAAATTTCAAATAGAAGAACTTATAAGCAATCTTTTTTAATGATTATTCTGTCATATACATATAATCCATTTTCAAGTTGAACATTATGATGGACATAAGATAAGAAGCATCAACTCCATTTTTTAGGAAACAACCAAACAAGTCTTATTATCTCACTAACCAGATGGTTACATAAAACATTAATGTAGGGATCAAAGTATAATAAAAGAAACAAGTTTCAGACAACAAAACATGAAAAACTTGTTACAATGAAAACTAAAACAAAATTTTCACGAATCTCAACTGAAATCAAATTGAAACATTATATTTATTCATAACAACATTCTTAGACTGAGTCCCCCCCAATTTCAGAGTTACAAGGCTCAATTTGGATTCCCATCTTCCTGTTCGACCCACTTGTCATTCATTTGTCAATACCTCAACTTATTGTTACTTTATGGAAGTTATAGCTTCCTCATAATTGAAAAATTAGATTTGAAAGTTTTAAAAACTTATTTAAAATTCTAATGGTATCTACAACATATGCTTTGAACTAATTTAATTCCTCCACACAGAGTTAAAAAAAAAGGAAGACTTCAAATGAGTAGCTCCGAAGGAATTGTCTTCTGAGGTGATCCCAACAAAAATGCCCAGAATCCTTCCTGACTCACCGAACTGTTTGTTATTTTTCCTTACCCACAATCAGCATGGAAAGAGGTAGTCACAAAAGTCATGTGCTTTCAGTACTTAGATTTCTCTGTAATTGTGAATTAAAATGCTTCATATTCAACAAAACCAATACCTTTTGCATCTTAATAACTGTCACGGGGTAACTTTCGTTTTTCTTTC